AAAAAAAAAAAAAAAAAAACATGGCCACTGCCACTGGCCTGGCCAGTGAGAATGGGCTTCCTGGGGAATTCACCCAGCCTGAGCTGAAGCACCTGCTGAGAGGTGAGGGTGCAGCTCCAGGTGTTTTGGCAAGGAAGCAGCTGGCAGCTGTGTGGGAGTCCCATGCCTCCCGTGTTCTTACTGAGGAGAGCACGGGCAGCTCAGGACAGGTTTCACTTTGGACAGTGGTTGGAGGCTGCTCACTCTGGCAGAGCCATCTGAAAGAGCCTTGGGGTATGTGCAAAACGGGGCTCTCTGCATGGGTGTTGGGAAGATTGCAGAGCCTGGCCATGTAGGGTGACCCAAGGGTCAGTTGGATACTGTTTGTTTTTGTGAAGTCAGGTGTCAGGCGATGGTTTTAGCAATGCCTTGCTAGTATGAGCAGTGGTGTGTGACGCTCCCGGTTAAACAGCATGAGATTCTAAGCGGAATTCTGGGTCTCCTGGCATGCGCAAGGAAAATCACAGTAGAGCTGTCCCACTCTTTGCTAGGACCCATACCTGTTTGCAGTTTGACTGGTTTAAGGGGTGTTTGTTTTCTGCCTTCTCTCCAATGTGTGGAGACATTTATTTATTTATTTTAAGACGGAGTTTCGCTCTTACTGCCCAGGCTGGAGTGCAATCTCCACTTCCCAGGTTCAAGCGATTCTCCAGCATTAGCCTCCTGAGTAGCTGGGATTACAGGCACCCGAACACCCCCGCCCTCTCCGGGCCAACACACACACCATGCCTGGCTAATTTTTGTATTTTTAGTTGAGATGGGGTTTCACCATGTCAGCCAGGCTGGTCTTGAACTCCTGACCTCAGGTCATCCACCCGCCTTGGCCTTGCAAATTGCTGGGATTATAGGCGTGAGCCACTGTGCCTGGTGAGACATTTATTTGAGATGAGGTCTCACTCTGTCACCCAGACTGGAATGCAGTGGTGCAATCTTGGCTCACTGCAACTTCTGCCTCCGGGGCTCAAGTGATGGATCCTCCTACCTCAGCCTCCTGAGTAGCTGGACCACAGGCACATGACACCACACCTAGCTAATCTTTTGTAGTTTTGGTAGAGATGAGGTTTCCCCATGTACCTAGGCTGCTCTCACACTCCTGGCCTCAAGCAATCCACCTGCCTTGGCCACCCAAAGTGTTGGGATTACAGGCGCGAGCCACTATGCCCAGCTGTGTTGAGACATTTAACATGTGTCAATCTGATGGTTTGAAATGGTAGATCATTTGGGTTTTCCCTAATTTCTAGTGAGGTTGGACATCTGTTCCAGTTATCCACTGCTCCGTAAAAGTAGCGGTCACCCCAAGTCACACAGCACTCCTAAACAGTCAACACACCATTTTATTACCGCTCATAGCATTGTGGGTTAGGAATCTGGACAGTGGGGGCAGGGTGAAACTTCAGCTCTGTGCCACCAACTGGGATCTCTTGAGGGCGCTTGGCTGGCATACGGGTTGGTCTGGGGACCACTGCCCCCTTTCCACCACCCTCTGTGGATCCCAGCTTTTTATTTTTTTGAGATGAAGTCTTGCTTTGTCACCCAGGCTAAAGTGCAGTTGTGTGTTCTTGGCTCATTGCAGCCGCTGCCTCCCAAGTTCAAGAGATTCTAATGACCCAGCTTTCCAAGTAGCTGGGATTACAGGCGTGCGCCACCATGCCCAGCTGATTTTTGTAATTTTAGTACAGACGAGGTTTCACGCCATGTTGGCCAGGGCGGTCTCGAACTCCTGACCTCAAATGATCCACCGCGCCTGGCCGGCCTCAGCATGTGCAGGATTTGAGGGGATGTGCAGTTCTTTCGGGAGTGTGAAATGTGCGCAGCATTTCCAGTCCCCCGGGCGTCCTCTGTGCCTGCTCACGCCTGTGTGCTGCTCCTGGGCGGGCTGCTGCTCCCAATTTCCAGCATGGGAAGTTTGGGGTCTGACCCTAGGAGGGCCTGGCTAATGGCATGGATTCAAAATCAGGGCTGAGCCGGGTACGGTGACTCACACATGTACTTTCAGCAGTTTGGGAGGCTGAGGCAGGTGGATCACCTGAGGTCAGGAGTTTGAGACCAGCCTGGCCAACAGGCAAAACCCTGTCTTAAAAAAACAAAAACAAACCAAAAAAATAGCCAGGTGTAGTGGCATGTGCCTGTAGTCCCAGCTACTTGGGGGGCTGAGGTGGGTGGATCGCTTGAGCCCAGGAGGTCGAGGCTACAGTGAGCCAAGATCATGCCACTGCACACTAGTCTGGGCATCGGGAGTGAGACCCTGTCTTAAAAAAAAAAAAAAAATCTAGGTTGGGTGGCGAGGCTGGGCTGGAATGGGGGTTGAGGCCAGGCTCTGGGGGTAGAGGGAGTAGAGGGCATGCAGCAGGAAGCAAGGGCCACCCTCAGGGATGGGGGACTGGGCCTGGCAGCTGCCAACAGGGAGGGCAAGATGCATATGGAGAGCCACGTGGGGCTGTGCCTGAGCCAAGGGCTGTGAGAGGAAGTCTGTTGCTCTGGGTGGCAGGCAGAAGGCATGGGCCACAGGTAAGGAAGGTATGGCTGACCCCAGGTGCTCCAGGCACTGGTGCTCCTCCCTGTCTGCTCCCTCAGCAGGTGTCAGAGTCTGAGTCACTTCCCCTCGTGTGACTCCCACAAGGACCATGTAGGGAGGTGGCCGTCTTTGGCCCTGATTCAACTCTGTGGGGAGAGGAGGGGCTGGAGCTGCAGGTGAACTGGCGTGGGCTCCCCTGAGTCCCTGCCCACCTGGGTCTTGTGCTGTGTGTGCTTCTGCTGTCTGTCCTCCCTGGTGACCAGTTTCTGCTGGACCTGCTTGTCCAGCCATGATCTTCTGACCACGATGGTTCTGGACACACATCTGTTGGGCTGAGGAATTTTTCCTGCCTCAAGCAGTTCCTGGTTTGGGCACTCCCACAGGGGAAGCCAGAGAGGACTAAGCCATCTCCTGATGCAGAAAGTCAGCCCCGCTGGGCAGTGCTGGCCCATGAAGTAGGGGCCCCACCCAATGGTGTGTGGACTGTGGAACACTGTGTCTGCCCAGGCGGGTCTGGCCACATTCCTGCAGCATGATGGCTGGCAGTTAGCTCCCTGGACGTGGAGGTGTGCTTCCCTGCCTGACTGACTCGTCCGCGAGGCAGCAAGATGCGTCCCTTGACATGTCCCGAGCATCCCCTGCAGGCAGCTGGGCTCACAGGTCTGGCTGGGAGCCAAGGTTATCAGTTTTGGGGTGACACAGGTGTCATCTGGATGAGTGTTGGGGCCCTCCTGCTCTGGACTGCAGGGCAGACATCATTTTGTGCTGGTCAGCCCCCTCGCCAGCTTAGCTCCCTTGGAGACCCCCAAGACTTATGGCAGGAGGTGTCTTCTGAAGAGGCACAGGCCGCTGCTTGCTCATTGGCCTTCCCAGGACCCTGCCCAGGTGGGGCTGCTTGGCCCCAGGTGCACCTGACCCTGTCCCTGTTCTAATTCCTGTGCTGGCAGCAAGCAGGGGACTGGGCCATCGGCTGGTTGGGGCTCTCACAGACGTCCTCTTTGCAGCCATCCGGGTCACCTGCACAGGCTCCTGCGGGGTCTCCAACAAGGCCAATGATGCAGCCTGGGTGGTGGAGGAGAGTTACTTCAACAGTTCCCTGTCACTGGCGGACAAGGGTAAGTGGGAGCCAGTCCTCAGGCTGGTCCCAAGCGGTGACCCCCGGGACAGCCCTTGCTTGGAGTATGGCCTGTGTTCCCGCCCCGCCCCTTACTAATCTGCCTCTTGGATCCTGCAGTGGCCCATCTTCCCCCAGGGGTGTGGTCCCTGATGGCTTTCTCATGGGCTGGGTGGTGAAGGGCCACCTTCTCTTTGTGCTGGATTTGGGTGTGCTCTGACCCCTGGCACAGCGGTTTCACCCTTGCCTCATCCCCAAAGCAAGAGAGTTCCTGTTGAAGAGAAACTCTTATCCTCAGTCTTCACCCAGGCCACAGCCCTGTGCTGCTGTGGACAGGGAGACCCAGCAGCCAGCTGCAGTGAGCTGGTCAGATGCAGTGCCCAGTCCTATCCTGGCCCTGTGGTCACCTCAGGCCTCTTGAGGTCTGTCCCCACCGCCCCCCACCTCCCTCCTGTCTCTGCAGGGAGCCTGCCCGCTGGAGAGCACAGCTTCCCCTTCCAGTTCCTGCTTCCTGGTGAGAGCCCAGCCTAGACAGGCCTGGTGATGACCAACTGGTCCTGGGAGGTGGGCTCTGCAGGGTGGGGGGCAGCCAGGTGCCAGTGCCTGCTCTCTCCCCAGCCACAGCACCCACATCCTTTGAGGGTCCTTTTGGGAAGATCGTGCACCAGGTGAGGGCCGCCATCCACACGCCACGGTTTTCCAAGGATCACAAGTGCAGCCTCGTGTTCTATATCTTGAGCCCCCTGAATCTGAACAGCATCCCAGACATTGAGGTGAGGATGGCACAGTGGCCTCCTTGGTGGTCCCCACCCTCATGGGGGCTGGGGAGGAGCCAGGCAGGCACTGCTTTATCCCCGTGTCCTGTCCCCAGCTCAGGTGAGGGGGCCCAGGGTCTGGAGACAGTGGTCTCTCTGCCCTCAGCTGACATCGTCCAGGGGCAGGGCATGGCAGGGCTGAGGGGCTTGTCCCGATGCCACAGGGACCCAGTCTGCCCGCACCTGCTAAGCCCCTGCCCGACCTTCCCCCCAAGCAACCCAATGTGGCCTCTGCCACCAAGAAGTTCTCCTACAAGCTGGTGAAGACGGGCAGCGTGGTCCTCACAGCCAGCACTGACCTCCGCGGCTATGTGGTGGGGCAGGCGCTGCGGCTGCACGCCGACATTGAGAACCAGTCGGGCAAGGACACCAGCCCTGTGGTGGCCAGTCTGCTGCAGGTCAGAGCCCCTGGCAGTTGCCTGGACTGGCCTCCTGGGGTGGGCTGGTGGCCTGCCCGGGCTCACAGGCTGGTCCTTCCCCAGAAAGTGTCCTATAAGGCCAAGCGCTGGATCCATGACGTGCGGACCATTGCTGAGGTGGAGGGTGCGGGCGTCAAGGCCTGGCGGCGGGCACAGTGGCACGAGCAGATCCTGGTGCCCGCCTTGCCCCAGTCGGCCCTGCCAGGCTGCAGCCTCATCCACATTGACTACTACCTACAGGTTTGGTGCTGCTGGGGGCTGGGTGGCCTGAGGCCTGAGGCCTGGTGGCCTTGGCCGTAGCCCTTCATGCCCCACCTCAATCTTGTCCAGGTCTCTCTGAAGGTGCCGGAAGCTACAGTGACCCTCCCGGTCTTCATTGGCAATATTGCTGTGAACCATGCCCCACTGAGCCCCGGGTCAGGCCCGGGGCTGCCTCCCGGGGTCCCAGCCCTGGTGGTGCCTTCTGCACCACCCCAGGAGGAGGCGGAGGCTGCGGTTGGTGGCCCCCACTTCTTGGACCCAGTCTCCCTTTCCACCAAGAGCCACTCGCAGCAGCAGCCCCCGATGGGCACCTTGGGTTCTGTGCCTGGCGCCCCTGAGCCCGATCCTCAGGATGGCAGCCCTGCCCCACACCCGCTGCACCCTCTCTTGTGCATTTCAACAGGTGCCACTGTCCCCTACTTTGCTGAGGGCTCCGGGGGGCCAGTGCCCACCACTAGCACCTTGATTCTTCCTCCGGAGTACAGCTCATGGGGCTACCCCTATGGTGAGTTGAGAGCCAGGGCTGGCAGGGAGGGGACGCCAGGGGCCCCATGCAGACCCTGCTTTCTCCCTGCAGAGGCCCCACCATCCTATGAGCAGAGCTGCGGTGGCGTGGACCCCAGCCTGACCCCTGAGAGCTGACCCTGTGCTGCCTTCTCCCGGCAGGCCTGGCCTCTGCCCTGGGACTGGGGCACCCAGGGCCTCGTGCCTTCTCTCCTGGCCTGGCCTGGCCCACTCAGGACCAGCCCAGCCTCTGCCAGCTCCCCTGGCGTCCACCCTCTTCTCCCTGGGGCTGGGGTGGGGGTGGCAGGGAGCTGGGACCTGGAGAGATGACTTCTGTAAATAAAAAACACTTCATTTGTAGAGCTGGGCCTCGCCGGCCTTGCCTTGGGTGTCCTCCAGCTTTTGGCGGGGCCTGACCCTAACCCCACCCTCGGCTCCTGCCAGGGTGCACCCCGTTCCTCCGGCACCCCCCACTACCCTGGGGTCGTGTTCCGGGTGCCATGTGTGGGCCCAGCCCAGGTGGAGCTGTGGGGCTGGTTCCCTTTAACAGAGGACAGGAGCTGGTGCTGGGCTTTCCAGAGCTGCCAAAGAATGCACCCTCCGAGCTCTCGTCAATCGGGGCCTCACGCAGCCTTGGCGTTTGGTTAAAATGTTTGGGCCTCGGCTCCTGTTGCATTTCTGCGCCCACGTTCCCTGGCGGCACGGTGTGGACCTCCTACGCCGAGAAACCTACAGACATGGAGAGGGGCTTGCCCAGGTCCCTTCAAGGGGAGACCCTGCTCTCCCTGCGCCTCGGTCCCTGCTGGCACCACTGCCAGGCCTGGCTCTGAGGGAGGCTGCTTCTCCTGGCCCACATCTCTAAAGCCTGAAAGGCAGGGTTCTGTGGAGCAGCATTTCCCAAAGGGGCATCCTGCAGATGTTCCAACCCCAGGAGAGGAATGTCTGGCCTGCCTGGAGGGCACTTCCAGAAACAGTGGAGGTGGGGGTGGGGTGAAGAAGGACTCTGGGTTCAAATTCCAGTTCTGTAGGGCGAAGGGGTGGCTGTGGCTACGTTGTCAGTCACCAGGCCAGGCACAGTGGCCCCCACCTGTAATCCCAGCACTTTGGGCGGCTCAGGCAGGCAGATCACTTGAGGTCAGGGGTTCCAGATCAGCCTGCCCAATATAGTGAAACTGTCTGTACTAAAAATTAAAACAAAAAACAAAAAACTGGGCATCGTGGCACATGCCTGTAATCCCAGCTACTTGGGAGGCTGAGGTTGGAGAATCGCTTGAACCCGGGAGGCAGAGGTTGCAGTGGGCTGAGATCATGCCACTGTACTCCAGCCTGGGTGACAGGGTGAGACTCTGCCTCAAAAAATAAAAATAGCCGGGTGCGGTGGCTCATGCCTATAATCCCAGCACTTTGGGAGGCCAAGGTGGGCGGATCATGAGGTCAGGAGTTCAAGATCAGCCTGACCAATATGGTGAAACCTCCTCTCTACTAAAAATATGAAAATTAGCCAGGTGTGCTGGCACACTTACAGTCCCAGCTACTGGGGAGGCTGAGGCAGGAGAACTGCTTGAACCGGGGAGGCGGAGGTTGCAGTGAGCCAAGATCGTTCCACTGCACTCCAGCCTGGGCAACAGAGCAAGACATCTT